TTCTTAATTTTTTCTTAGGATGCTCCATTGTGAATTTCTCAGAACTACAAGCATTGCCTTTTAACAACTGTCTTATCTTACATCATTTGCTAGCCTTCTAAGTCCTTCCATCTTCATAGATTGTCTTTTAGATTTACAAATATTATCTGATTTCACGAAGATATACTGTTCCTATTTATTGTTCTTTTTGAAATTGGGTAAGTTTTGGGAGAAAGTTGTGAAAATGTATGTTTTTTTTAACCATCTTGGAACCATAAATTCTGAATATTCATGAAACGAGTATGGAATTTTTGCTATCTTATAAAAGTCGTAAATTTAATAGTAAGTTCTCATGATATATTTAAAATATCTTGTTTGCAGAAATTTGGGGTTAAAATCATTTAGTAGTGCTTCTGTAAATTAAATTTTTATACTTTTGCTTGTTTTCTATAAAGGTTCTTATATGGATGTAGCTCCTATTCCATACAACCTTCATCCTTTCAAATCTAGCATCAGAACAAACTAGGAAAAAAAGGAGATTGAATTTTCTGTCTATAAAAAACAAGGGAATAAAGACAGACATTTTAAAAAGTAAAGAAAGAGAAACAATGGCAACTTTCAATACATTATCAAAATCATATATTTTCAGGTAATAGGAAATTCCAATTTATGAAGCTTGAACCAAAATTTAACGGCTGAGAAAGGAAAAGGTAAAACTGGGTTAAGTCTGTTGTCAGAATTAAATCATAGACAGCAGAGCAGCTCACATCTATAATCCCAGCACTTTGGGAGGCCGAGGCAGTAGGATCACTTGAGTCCAGGAGTTTGAGATCAGCCTGGGCAACACAGTGAGACTGTTTCTACACAAAATAAAAATTAGCCAGCCATGGTGATGCATGCCTGTGGTCTTAGCTCCTTGAGGGGCTAAGAAGGGAGGATGGCTTGAGCCTGGGAGATTGAGGCTGCAGTGAGCCCTGTTCACGCCACTGCACTCCACCCTGGGTGACAAAATGAGACCATGTCTCAAAAAAAGGACAAGAAATCGATTTTGTTCATTCTGATTTATTAGAGCTCTAGAGATTAGTAGGCAAAACCAAATTGTGAATAGTAATAATAAAATAAGCAGAGTTCCCTCTTTGTGATGTCAGTGTTCTTAATTTGTTTATAGCTAACTTTAATTACAAGCGTTCAAGATCCTGGACCTGATGAACAAAAGGTCAAGGCTAGGACACACTCCTCAAAGTCCCTCCATACTATTGTTCTATTTAACGTTGCACAAAAACACACCTGAATGAGCTATAGGAATCAAGCTCTAGCTACCTTTGCAAGATGACAATCTCTGGCCTTGAGAAGACTTACCATGATTTTCTCCTTATATGGTTTGAGACAAAAGCATAACACAGGGACAGCTTGGAAACCTGAAGAAGAAAGCTAACTGCGGGAATGAAGTGTTGCTGCCTTAGACAAGCTAATCTGCCCGTCAAAGCAAAAAAGCATAATTCAGTATGCCTGGGATGTCTCCGTATCCAAGGAAAGAAAAGGCTCTGAAGGAAATTGTTGACATTCTGACTACTTAAAGTAGATGCCTTGTTAAATGAGATTTCTGCTGAGACTAGGATGCTCTGTAGGTGCCTACCAGTTCAAAAATGTAATGAAAGGAAAGTGCTCCGTGTTTCCTGTTGACTTTCATATTCAAAGATCAATTTAATGGAAAATAAAAAGCTTCCATTCGTGGGATACCTCTTTGTATTAAAAGCGATGAAATGAAGAAAGTTTGGAACATTAGGAGCTATTAGCATCATTGTGTGTGAAGAAACAGTGAGTCCCCAATTCACTCCGCACTTTAGCTGAGGGTTCCCTTTTTCCCATTAAATGCCAAAGTCATTAAGCATTTTGTATTGAGCATAAGATCTGAATTTCAGTTAGCATAAAAAATATGATAAATCTCATAAATGTTAGGAAGTTGGGGGAAATCAAAAACAGCTATAACTTGTTTCAGATATATTCATTCAAAAATATATGTCATTGAAGTTACTATCCATTTTCACACAGTATCTAAATTTTTAAATTATTCTTTTATTTGATATGTATTCTGATGAGTCTTCACTAACTTATGGTATTAGGGAGCATAACGTAGGTTAAAATACTGTTGATGAAAACAGTCAAACTGCAACATATTTGGAGAGATTTATTCTGAGCCAAATATGAGTGACCATGGCCCTCAGGAAGCCCTGAGAACATGTGCCCAACCAAGGTGGTCGGGGTACAGCTTAGCTTTATATATTTTAGGGAGGCATGAGAGATTAACCAATTACATTTAATAAATAAATTGGTTTGGTTCAGAAAGGCAGGACAACTCAAAGGTTGCGGGGGACTTCCAGGCTATAGGTAAATTTAAACATTTTCTGGTTGACAACTGGTTGAGTTTATTTGAAGACCTGAGATTAATGAAAAGGAACGTTCAATTTAAGATAAAAGATTGTGGAGACTAAGTTTTATTGTGCAGAGTGTTTGGTAGAAAGTCCCATCCACCCCCCTCCCCCCAGGCTTCCCGCCGCCCGGAAGAAAATCCTCAGGCGCTGCTCTGTTCTGCCCGGCAACAACAAACAGCCAATCATCGCAGCAGAAAAGCCCGCCAAGCCTCGGCCTATCCTGACCCGACACATAACCCTCTGAGCTACCTCAGCAGTCTGCCCAGAGACGGACAGCCTATCCTAAGCTCCCACGACACTCCGCCAGCCCTGTGTCCACGCCCCGTCCACCCCCCCTATAAAACCCTCCTACCCCAGCTGCACAGTCGCAGCCAGCCCCGATCTCCTTCCTTTCCTGGCCTGCCCGCTGGTCCCAATAAACCTGAACTCGGCTTCCAACTCTCGCTCGAGCTGTTACTTGGGATCGGGTACCAGGCAGGGGTCTACAAGGGGGTCGCACATTTGGTGCCGAAACCCGGGGGTGAGGGTCGCTAGCCCCCCTAGTGACCCCCTCCCTTCAGCGACCTCTCCAGCCCTCCTCCAATTCGGCCTCAGCACTCCGGACCAGGTAAGTCCTGTTTCTTACCTTCTCCTTCCGTGGTGCGTGTGGCAAAGTCCCTTCCTCTCAGTCCCACTCCACGGATCCCTCGCCAAGCGCCGGCCAGCCCAAGCAGGATCCCCCAACCAGGCTCCAGGAGCCTTGGGTCGGCAGACAAGGGACGCCTTCTCTGACCCACCCAATCCAAAACCATTAAATAGGAACGATCAGACAGGGGATGCCTTCTCTGGTCTTTCCTATCCACCTTCCTCTGGGGAAGCTGGTGGGTTGGAGGGACGCCTCCCCCCACACTACCCCAGCCCACTTGGATACTGTTCCGAGACCGCCCTCGGCTGGCAGGAATCCTTTGCCGCACACACCATGGGGAACGTGGAGTCCAAAATTCCTACGAACACTCCACTAGGTTGTTTACTTCTTAACTTTACCCGCTTGGGCTACTCCCAAACCCTTAGGCAAAAGAAGCTTATCTTCCTCTCCCAGGTGGCCTGGCCCCAGTACCAGCTCGATAACAGGTCGCATTGGCCTCCCACCGGCACTTTCGATTTCAATGTGCTCCGTGACCTAGATAACTTCTGCCGCCAGGCCGGCAAAGATAAGGAAGTGCCTTATGTTCAGGCTTTTTGGGACCTGCATTCCCATCCTGACCTCTGCTCCTCTTGTTCCACTCACCAAGTTCTTTTAGCCCAAACTCCTCCACCACAGACTCCTACCTCCCCAACCAAGCCACCTCCCTATACTCTACAAGAAGAGATGCCTGACCATTTGTCTTCCCCCTTTGTTCCCACTCTGGAAGTCCCCGACCCACCTAACCCCCCTCCCTCCGTATCTCCTCCTGCTGTGCCTCCTTCCTCCTCTCCGCCTACGCCTTCCACCACCCCCCCAACCACTCCTCCTCTCATCTGCCCTCCCTCCTCCTCCCCCGTGGCGGCCCATACCCATACCAAGACTTCAGTGCCTCCCTCTGTCATAGCACCCCTACGGGAAGTAGCCGGGGCAGAGGGCCTTGTCCGAGTCCATGTCCCTTTTTCTCTCCAAGACCTAGCCCAAATTGAACGCCGCCTTGGGTCCTTCTCGGCAGATCCCTCCACCTACATTAAGGAGTTTCAGTATCTCACCCAGGCCTATAGTCTCACCTGGCACGATATTCGGGTCATCTGTACATCGACCCTCTCTGCCGAAGAGCACGAGCGCGTCCTAGCGGCAGCCAGGCATCAAGCAGATAGAGATCATGCCATAAACCCAAACCAAGTCCCAGTAGGTACAGAAGTTATTCCCACCACAGATCCCCAATGGGTATATCAGGATGGAGCTGGCTCCCACATCCCAGCTCGAGACCGCATGTTTCAGTACCTGTTGCGCGGGTTAGAAGCTGTATCCAACAAGGTCGTTAACTGTGATAAATTAAGAGAAATTACACAGAAGCCAGATGAGAACCCTGCCATTTTTCTCAACTTCCTTCAGGAAGCCCTTGTCCGCTATACCCGACTAGACCCAGCCTCCCAAAATGGTGCTACCGTCTTAGCTTCCCACTTCATTTCCCAATCCGCCCCTGACATTCGGAAAAAACTTAAAAAGGCTGAAGACGGCCCAGAGACTCCTATACAAGACCTGGTTAAGATGGCCTTTAAAGTCTTTAACGCCAGGGAAGATGCAGCAGAGGTTGCCCGCCAAGCTCGATTGAAGCAAAAGGTTGTGCTGCAGACCCAAGCCCTGGTGGCAGCCCTACGGCCAGCAGGGGCCAAGGGTCCGAATAGCCGCTCCAAGCCCTCGCCAGGGGCGTGCTTCAAATGCGGCAAGGAAGGACATTGGGCCTCTAGTTGCCCTCAGCCACGGCCGCCCACCAGGCCCTGCCCCCTCTGTCAGCTCAGTGGCCACTGGAAATCAGAGTGCCCCCAGGGATCTAGGACCCCGGCCAACACAAGCCGGAGTAGTGGACCAAGGGGTGCCTCTCCGGGAGGGCCAACCCCTGATCCTCCAGCTCGGGAGTCTGGCTCTCCTGACCGCCTATACCCTGAGTTACTGGGGCTTTTAGACGACTAGGGAGGCCCAGGCTTGTCGACCCCAGTAACCCTCGCCGAGCCTAGGGTGTCACTTCAGGTAGCGGGAAAAAGCGTCTCCTTTTTGCTCGATATGGGGGCTACCTACTCTGTACTTCCCTCCTTCCAAGGCCAGACCATACTTTCCCAGGTCTCTGTTATGGGAATCGATGGAGCTGCACACACCCCACGCCAAACCCCACCGCTCACTTGTATGTACAACTCAGTCCCATTCAGCCACTCTTTCCTCATTATCCCCTCTTGCCCTGTGCCTCTGTTGGGACAAGACATCCTAACAAAACTCAAAGCCCACATCACTTTCCCCATCTCTCCCCAACACCTCCTGTTGGTTGCTCACCACCTCGACTCCGACTTAGACTATGCTTCCCCAGGCATTCTCCTCCCCAAAGTACACCCTAAGGTATGGGAAACGGATACACCTGTAGTAGCCACACACCACAAGCCAGTCAAGATTTGCCTCCAGGAACACTCCTCCCGATTTCTTTGTCGACCTCAGTTTCCTATTTCCAAGAAACACCGCCTAGGACTTCGCCCTATCATTGAGAGGCTAAAAAGTCGCGGCCTCCTAGTACCCACCAATTCCCCATGTAACACTCCCATCCTCCCAGTTCGGAAACCCTCAGGAGAATACCACCTTGTCCAAGACCTCCAACTAGTCAATGCTGCAGTAGTCCCTATACATCCTGTAGTCCCAAACCTGTACACCATACTCTCCAGAATTCCCTCCGATACTACCTTCTTCTCAGTCCTTGACCTCAAGGACGCCTTTTTCACCATTCCCTTACACCCAGATTCCTATTTCATCTTCGCCTTCACCTGGGAAGACCCACTTACTGACAACTCCTGTCAGCTCACCTGGACATTTCTTCCCCAGGGTTTCAGGGATAGCCCTCACCTGTTCGGTCAGGCCCTGGCAACAGACCTTCTAGGCTGCCGCCTAGCCCCATCTATTGTTCTTCAGTATGTTGATGACCTACTTGTCTGTTCCCCCAGCCAGGAAGAGTGCACCCGAGCCACTACTGTTCTGCTCAACTTTTTAGGAGACAAAGGGTATAGAGTTTCAAGAAAGAAGGCCCAACTTGTTACCTCATCAGTCATTTACTTGGGCCTACAGCTTTCCCCGGGAAAGAAATCCATTATCCCCGATCGACTGCAGGCCCTGAAAGCCCTCCAACCCCCGCAGTCTGCCACTGAAATACTCTCCTTTCTAGGGGTAGTGGGATTCTTCCGGCATTGGGTGCCCAACTTTGCCCTTCTGGCCAAGCCACTTTACCAAGCAGCCGCAGATACTCCTGAAGGCCCACTTACTTCACAGGGAACAGTGACTCGAGCCTTCCATGTGCTCCTACAAGCACTATGTGCTTCAACCTTTCTTGCTCTACCCAATCCCAATCTTCCTTTTCACTTGTATACGGATGAGAAAGCCCACATCGCAGTAGGAGTCCTGGCTCAACCAGTCGGTAGCGCCCTCCTTCCTCTAGCATACCCCTCCAAGCAGCTCAGCCCCACAGAAAAAGGGTGGCCCCCTTGCCTTCGAGCCTTGGCAGCGGCCGTTACGCTTACAACAGAAGCTCTTAAGATCAACCTCCAACAACCTCTCAAAGTATTCTCCCCCCACAGATTGCAGGAACTCGTGTCTAGTCAGGCCTTACCACACCTTGGGAGATCCAAGATACAGCTCCTGCACCTTCTATTCCTGGAAAATCCGGATGTCTCCCTCTCTCACTGTTCTGCTCTTAATCCAGCCACCCTCTTTCCTTCTCCCACTGCCCCAATACTAGACCACCAATGTCTTGAAGTCATTGTTGAAACTCAGTCTCCATGGCCGGATCTATACTCTACCCCCATCGAGGCCAAAGCAACACTTTTTGTAGATGAGAGCTCCTTCCTACGCCCAGGAAAACCCCGTATTGCTGGATATGCAATAGTGACCCCTTCAGACGTCATTGAGACTCATTCCCTCCCCTTAGGAACCACATCACAACAGGCTGAGTTAGTCGCCCTCACCCGGGCTCTCAAGTGGGCCAGGGACAAAACTGTCAACATATACACAGACTCAAAGTACGCTTTCCTTATGGCACACTCCCATTGTATGATCTGGAAAGAGAGAGGATTCTTGACCACAAAGGGCACCCCGGTAGTTAACGGAAAACTTATAGCGGATTTTATCTCAGCCATCCAGCTTCCAAAGCAAGTTGCCGTCATTCACTGTGGAGGACACCAAACCTCCGGGTCCCTAGTAGCCCTAGGTAATGCTTTTGCAGACAGGACAGCCAGGGAGACAGCACAAACCTGCCCACCCCCAAAAGAAATCTACTTCCTGTCACGCTGCTACAAACCCCAGTATTCCAACTCTGAGCTCGAACTTTTACAGCAAAACCCTGGAGTGACCTTTATGGATGGATGGGCCTTCAATCACAACCTTCTGATACTTCCTCAAGCACAAAAAACTGCCATCATAAAAGACATCCATGATTCCCTTCATATTGGACCTAAAGCCCTGCTCCACTTCCTCCTATCCATATTACATCCAGAAGGGCTTCCCTCCCTTATTCACCAGGTCCATGCCCAATGTCTCATTTGTGAGAAGACCAACCCCCAAGGAGCCTGTCATCTCCGTCAACAGCTCAACCAGTTGCGTGGATCTTTACCAGGACAAGATTGGCAAATTGATTTTACTCACATGCCAAGACGCAGACAATTTCGGTTCCTGTTAACCATTGTTGATACTTTTTCAGGCTGGATCGAAGCTTTTCCCACCACTTCGGAGTCCGCTGACACTGTTGCTGCCCATCTTATCCAGGACATCATCCCTCGGTTTGGGCTTCCAGCCACTATTCAGTCAGACAATGGCCCGGCCTTTGTCTCCAAAGTTACTAACGCTGTCTGTGCTTCCTTAGGAATTCAGTGGAAGCTGCATGCGGCCTACCACCCCCAGTCATCGGGTAAGGTAGAACGGGCTAACGGACTCATCAAGGATCAGCTTACCAAACTCTCTCTCGAGCTCAAGCAGTCGTGGGTCTCTTTACTACCGTTAGCTCTTACCAGGCTGCGGGCCCGCCCCCGAAGAGCCTCACAGCTCAGTCCATTCGAGCTCCTATACGGGCGACCCTTCCTGCTATCCACTCCACCTTCTCCAGAGAGTTCCCCCCTGAACACCTACCTTCCCTATTTTACTCTCCTCAGACATCTACTCAGGGAACACGCCAATGCTTCTATACCCCAAACCTCAGAAATTTCACCCGCTCTGGGAAAGGTTGCTCCCGGTGACTCTGTTTTCATTAAATCTCTCACTCCAAAACCCCTCTCACCCCGATGGGAAGGGCCCTATACTGTCATTTTAGCTACCCCAACGGCCATCAAAGTTGCCCAGATTCCATCTTGGGTCCATCTCTCAAGAGTAAAAAAGTATCCTGATGGCCCTTCCAGTTCCCACTGGGAGTGTGTTCCTACTGGTCCTCTATCACTTAAGCTCTTTAAGCCCTGAATTGTCCCTAGCTAACCCACAGTATGTCTGGATATTTTTTCTCACTGAAAATAATACCAAAACTACCGAGATTTGCTCAACCCCTCCTTACTCTCATAACCACCTCTTAACCACGACAGATTGCCCCACCACAGGATGTGCATCCCCCATCCAACTCAACTTCTCCACCCTTAACAACGTTCGCCGTACTCACCCATTGCTATGCTTTAACTATAAACAGACAGGTGCTTGTAGGACCTCCAGTTGGCACTCTTGTATGGGATGTGTCTGGGGCTCCTGTCAGCGTGAGCCCACAGCTAACGAATGGGAGCAGGGTGGCCACTTCCCTTCCCTCCTTAAGAGGACCACAAAATTCGACTCAGAAGGCAATCCCAGCAAAAAAACCCAACTTACTCTAACCATCCCAGATCCCTGGGACGATAGATGGCAAGCACCCCCAAAAGGCCTCAGTCTGTGAGTCCAGTTCCACAAGTTATCGGTCCTCACACTTATATATCTGGCGGGCGTATGTCCTCACCTCTCCAGAGATCCACAACACGATCCAAGTGCAAGAAACTACATTAAAAACTCAGCTAGCCCCTTTCTCGTGGTTAACCCTCATGAAAGAAGGCCTAAAGCTTGCCAATCAGACAGGGCTGACCAATCTGACCTCTTGCCTCCTGTGTGCGACTCTTGGACAAACTCCTCTAGTCGCAGTCCCGACCATGTTTCCTACAAACCACACCAACGGGACAGGCCGACACCCCACAATCCCAGATGTCCCACTCTTCTACCTCAACACTTCACTCTTTCCGGCCTGCTACTCTTCTCAGAGCTCAGACCCCACATGCAACAAGACTCAACAACTCACAGCTAGTCTAACAGCTCCCCGAGGTTTTTACTTTTGGTGCAATGGTACCCTTTCCAAACTACTAACCCAGTCTGACCTTAGAGGACATTCCCGCTGTCTCCCTGTCACCTTGGTCCCACGCCTCACTGTCTATTCACCGGCTGAGTTCCTTATGATGCACACTAGCATGTCTTCCGCACGCCCCAGCTCCCATCGTCAAAGAAGAGCTTCCTTTCTTCCCATAGCTATGGGGCTCTCCCTCGCAGGATCTACAGCTGCTATAGGCCTAGGAAGCGGGGCCCTGATTAACACTCACCAGGCCCTAGCCCACCTTTCCTCACAGCTGCAAACTGCAATTGATGACTCTGCTGCCTCCCTAGCATCTCTCCAACGACAGGTCACTTCGGTTGCCCAAGTAGCCCTATAAAACCGAAGAGCTCTGGACCTGCTTACAGCTGAACGAGGAGGGACCTGCATCTTCTTACAGGAAGAATGTTGTTACTACGTCAATGAATCTGGGATAGTAGAAACCCGCATCGAAAATCTCCAGAAAATCAAGATGGAGCTACAAAGTTACCAGTTTACCACTAAAGACAGCGCATGGTGGTCGTCATCCATGTACACCCTCCTATCCCCACTGATAGGACCTCTGCTTATCATCTGTCTTTTCTTACTTGTTGCCCCTTGTTTCTTTCAGTTCTTGCAGCGCCGTTTCCAGGAGCTCACCCGGATCACTATCAACCAGATGCTGCTACAACCAGTCCTCAGCCATCCAGATTGCGCATATGCCCCCCTACCAACCTCCCAGACTCCGTAAAGACCCCACTCCGCCCCTGTCCAGCAGGAAGTAGCCAGATCGACTTCGCCGCCCTTTTCCTTTTTAAGGAGTCGGGAATGTTTGGTAGAAAGTCCCATCTACCCCCCTCCCCCCAGGCTTCCCGCCGCCCGGAAGAAAATCCTCAGGCGCTGCTCTGTTCTGCCCGGCAACAACAAACAGCCAATCATCGCAGCAGAAAAGCCCGCCAAGCCTCGGCCTATCCTGACCCGACACATAACCCTCTGAGCTACCTCAGCAGTCTGCCCAGAGACGGACAGCCTATCCTAAGCTCCCATGACACTCCGCCAGCCCTGTGTCCACGCCCCGTCCACCCCCCCATAAAACCCTCCTACCCCAGCTGCACAGTCGCAGCCAGCCCCAATCTCCTTCCTTTCCTGGCCTGCCCGCTGGTCCCAATAAACCTGAACTCGGCTTCCAACTCTCACTCGAGCTGTTACTTGGGATCGGGTACCGGGCAGGGGTCTACAAGGGGGTCGCACACAGAGTAATCTCTCAGATAGCAGGCTTCAGAGAGATAGCAGGTTGTGAAATGTTTCTTTTTGGACCTAAAAGGGTACCTGTTCCTTAGTTGATTATCTCCTAGATCTGGAAGGACGGGAAGGAAAACAAAGGGGTAGGAGGATTCTCTAGGATATGTATTTTTCTCACAAGAGACTGTGCAAGGCAATTTCAAGGTATGGAAAGGAAATGTATTTGGGGGTTAAATATTTCTTTCCTTGTCTCATAATGTTATGCCAGAGTCAAACTGAAAAGTCAGTCAGGACATATATGGTCAATTAAAACCCATCTGGTGAGAATTTATGGTTTGTAAGGAATGACTCCCTAGACCCCTTAGGTAGGAATTTGGGCAAGTTAAAAAATCAGAGCTTAGTCCTCAATACCTGTCTTAATTTCCTCATAGAAGCGTTGCTGTATCCATTTTTTTTTTTCTTTTTTTAGGGAGGGTCTCATTCTCTTCCCCAGGCTAGAGTGCAGTGATGTCATCAAGTTGCACTGCAGTATCGACCCCCTGGGCTCAAGTAATCCTCCAGCCTCAGCCTTCCTAATACCTGGGACCACAGGCATGTACCACCACTAATTAGCCTCTCCCTGCTAATTTTTAAATTTTTGTTGAGACGAGGGAGTCTCACCATGTTACTCCTGCTGGACATTTTTTAATAAACTGCAAGTGTCAGACAAGAGAACTAAGAAATTTTGATAATTTCATATCAATTAAGAGGATAACATTTTTCAAGAAATAGTATTTGATCCACTATGTGTACAAGTGTCTGATATTAGCCACATTTCATTGGGATCTTATTGCGTATCTCAGATGTCCATGTCTTATATATCACCTGGAGTACCCTTCAGTTTCCCTGAAGTTGTTTAATGCAAATATCTCAACTTCTTTACCAGACCACACCTTCTCAGAAAGCAGAACCATAATTTGTTTTTTCCTGGTGGCTACTAATTTTCTATCATAGTACCCAGCACCCAGTATTCATTCAGTTGTGTTTGTGGAGCACATAAATGATTTTTATCTAAGCTCATTAATTTGTAAAGTACTTTTCTAAAAAATATGTTTTTTTAAAAAATCCATTACCAAAGGGAAAAATATTAAAGTTTCTTTGGTTACACTGGTGGATCCTCTAGATGATTTGTATCAGTATCGCCTTACTGTTATCATACTTATTAACATGCTCATTCTTAGCATGAATTATAATGATGAAGGTGGTAATAACAACTGGAATAAAATGTTTCTTTACAGTAGAGAAAGCATTCAGTCACATTATTCCATTTGATCTTCACAAAATCCATGTGTCAGCAGAGTGGTCACTGTTATTCTTATTTTACAGTTGATAAGTGAAGATCAGAAATGTCAAGTGACTTGTCCAAGATCACATTAACAGCAAGTGCAGATGCTGGGAAGATTTATATTCGGGTCTTTCTGATTCTAAAACTCCATACTGAATGCAGATTAGTCCCCAATTTACAAGCACCTGAATTGTAAAGCCTTATTCAATCTAAAAAGGAACAAACAAAATAACACCCACGTGATCACAGAAATCACCAGTCCAGTTGACCACATGACTACAGGATATTCTTCGGCCATCGAACCTCGCATTTCCATGTTTCTGGTACTTCATGAAGAACAGAAAGCTTGTGCTTTTGCAAACTGCCTTCTGCTTGCTGAAGTAAAATCCTTTAAAAATATATTCTGTACTGTGGAAATATTTTCATTGCCTTCTATTGGTTTGTGTTTATTTGTTTGTTCATGCATCTTTTATAAGATGAGGAGTACCTTGCCGCCATGCTGTATAATTTTTTAAATTAGCACAGGTTAATTATTTCTGAGTCACCCAGAAGTTCTGGAAAAAGAAATGCCTTCAGCAAGTAATGTCTGGCACCTTCTAGAGAAGAGTATACAGAGGGACCAAGTGGAAGCCTCTTCCCACCTTTTTCTTCGCTAGGGCCTTCAACTTTTCCATTCAATCCCTTCCCTGCCTTAGTTCCTAGAAGCTTCTTTCAAAGTCTTTTCTCCATGTTCAACTCTTGTTTCATTTATTATAGTCTATTTAGCACAGAGTAACCAAGGTGCTTCTTTTAAAGCAAATTAAATACATCAACCACTTGTCCAAAATCCTTCCAGAGCTTCCAATTTCAGTTAGAATAAAATCCAAAGGCCTGGCCATGATCTCTGGGGCCCCACGTGATCTGGCCTCTGCCTGCTTCCCCATTACCTCTCTGACTCCCACACTGTGTCCACTCTGCCGCAGCCACACTGGCCTGCTGGCTCCTTTTTCACTTCCAAATATTCTCTCACCTCAAAGCCTTTACTTTCATTCTTCTATCTGCCTCAAACATTTTTCCCTTAGCTATTTCCACAGCTGTTCCCCCCACACATTATTCAAGTCTTCCCTTAAATTTTTTATGTCCTTATATTATTTACATTTTTTGTAGTACCTATTGCTATCTTGCATTGCACTGCATATTTATTTACCTATTTGAAAAATATTCTGCCCTAGAATAAAAACTTGAAGTCAGAAAATATTTTCTAGTGACTTCTCTATTCTCAATATCTAGAATAATGACTTCACATAGTAAGAACTCAATGAACATATGTCAAACACGGGAAATGAATTAGTAAATAATGTCTTAGTTTCAGGGGCTGTTATTTTGCATTTCTCTCAGGTGTTAAGACATCCTAATGGGAGGGTATGTAGGGTAAATGAGGTTGCAAGAAGCCAGTTGATACCTAAGCCTAAAATTTTTTGTAAAATCAAATTTAATTTAATTTTAATTAAAAAAATTTAATTTCAGAACTACTTAAACTACAGCTGAATAACTGTACACTTGGAGGTATACAAGTTTATTTCAGTTGATGGCATTCTTATATAGAGCAAACTTTTGTTGAGTATTATCTATGTGCCAAGCACATCACATAGAGGGTACTTTGGACCCATACTGGGAAAACAAATATGGAAAATGTACAGTTCCTTTTGTCAAGAGACTCATAGTTTAGTATCAGTAGTAGTTTGTTTAAGTAGTAGTTTAATTTGTGGGGATAAATTTATTTGAGAAACAAAGAAAAGAAGGAAAGGAGAGAGGAAGAGACCAGTCTATGTTATTCTGTAAAAAGTATTTATACATAGGGTAGAAAAAGAGTTCAAATTAGGAAAGAAATTTAAAATATTTGACGTCGGTTTTTAAAAAGGCTTATGCCTGTATTCCCAGCACTTTGGGAGGCTGAGAAGGGTGGATCACAAGGTCAAGAGTTTGAGACCTTCCTGAACAACATGATGAAACCCTGTCTCTACTAAAAATACAAAATAGCCGGCATGTGCTAATTGTGGTGGCACACGCCTGTAATCCCAGCTACTTAGGATGCTGAGGCAGGAGAACTGCTTAAACTCGAGAGGTGGAGGTTGCAGTGAGCCGAGATTGAACCACTCCACTCCAGCCTGGTGACAGAGAGAGACTCTGTCTCAAAAAAAAAAAGGTCTTGTCACATACTATCCAGATAATATTTTATTTTCGTGTGGCCTGAGAATAATTTTTATAAGATATGTAATAGTATTTTATAAATGAATATTTGCAAGTATGGGAATCCTGTCTGCCTATATCCTCTTCAAGCAAAATTTCATGTTCTCTGAAATGACCCTAATAACTTCTAGAATAAGTTGCCATATATGAGAATATGAAGCTAATATTTCTAATTATGATAACTCATCAGTTTCTTACCCACTGATAAAGGAACAAGAAATGTGATCATTTCATGTCTCAATCATAAAGGCACTTACATTATTGTAATTACTTGTTAACTTTTTATCAATATTTCAATTTTTAATAGAAAAAAATTGTGCTTTACTTTTCATTTTCAGTTTCTAAGATACCATTTAGCATATAGTGCACATGTTACTCATTCTAAAGCTGTATCTCACCTGCCTAGCCTCACTGTTTTGAATGTGTTTTGAAAATAGATCGACTTTAGCATTTTTTTACCATGAAAAAAATCATAAATGGATAAAAGTATCATGTAACTTTAGCCTAAATTCTGTTGTTTTGCATACTTTAATATGACTAACAAAACCTGCCCAGGTCTATCATCTATTTTATTATCTTAGACCAGCGTCAACCCTCCTTAGGACTTGGCAGTTGAGATGACTGATAAAAAAAATCAAATGGGCTGATTGTGGTGGCTCACGCCTGTAATCCCTGCAGTTTGGGAGACTGAAGCGGGCAGATCATGAGGTTAGGAATTCGAGACCAGCCTGGCCAACATGATGAAACCCTGTCTCTACTACAAATACAAATACAAAAAAAAAAAAAAAAAAATAGCCGGGCGTAGTGTCATGTGCCTGTAATCCCAGCTACTCAAGAGGCTGAGGCAGGAGAATTGCTTGAACCCAGGAGGCGGAGGTTGCAGTGAACCGAGATTGTGCCACTGCACTCCAGCCTGAGCGTCAGAGGGAGACTCCATCTCAAAAAAAAAAAAAAAAAGGCAAATTTGAGTTCCTTTTGAGGTATGTGATACTGCTATATCTCTATACCATCTGTTGCCTCTTTTCCTGGAAAAAAAGAACCCGTCTCTTTTTACTCTTCAAGGAGATCATTCTTAAAATTTGTTGGATAATCTATATTACTAAACCTCACTTCTCTGTCCTTATATTCCCAGAACCAATCATTTCTATGAGATTAGAGATCCCCAAGACTATAGGAAATTCATTTACTATCTCGCTTAAGATGAAAAGTAAATCCTCTACGTTTGTTTTTGTTTGTTATTTGGTTTTGGTTTTTTAGCTTCATATTCTGTATCTTTTTAATGCAATAAGCCAATCCTCTGTGTGAAACTGGTTCTTATTTGGCTGTCTACTGAAATAAAATAAAAATTTTATAATTTCAAAGTAAATCTCTCCTGGAAGGTTTTTCAAAATTGTTCACTAATTAATAAGTGTTAGTATCTGAAATTGCACTGAATACCCAAATACATATTAACACTTATTTTCATTATAATGGTCTTTTGAAATAAGCATGCACAATATTCTGTAAGCAGGGCTAAGCATAGTAAGTTATTTAAGAAGAGATAGGAATTGATTTATTAAACAAGTATTTATTAAACCTAAATTCTACAGCAATTCACATAATATTAAGCATGAAGTCATAGTTCATGGAGAATGCTAGTATGGTTGCCAAGAGAAAAGCATGCATAGTGTTTTCATCAACATACAGCTATTCCAGAAGGATATAAGCAAAACAGAAAACCGGTATTAACATATCACATATGGAAAAGCAAAATCTTTCCTAGGAATTAGTTATTGGAGGACAATTCTTTGTAGGTCTCTCATATTTCTGTATGTGTGTTGAGCAGGGACACTAACTGTCCTTTTATTTTTAACTCTCTTTTCAAGTATGTTTATGCAGCAAACAGCCTTGAAAGTTAGAGATAGTGTTTCTCTCTGGAGCAAGGGGCAGGTGTGCTTAGGGTTCAACATGATAAAGGTAATTTCTCCTTCTGAAACAAACATCAGGCAGGTTTGCTGACTGTCGATTATGAAAGATTTAAGGTACCTAACCTTAGGGCCCCTCAGACATGAAACAAATATTACTGCATAATTTTTCACTTAGAAAATTACATACGGCCCTCTGCTTTGTCCCATGGGACATAAGGGAACAGAAGAAACTGATGTAAACATGAAGCTCATACTGCTTTCTGTGCCATGAGCAATAAAGCCTCTTGTCTCTGACCAAAGAATCTCATGTCTTGTTAAAATCCACAAAGGTATGGCAAGTTTGTTAGCTTGCAAGTAGGGTGAAAATCTTACATCCTTAACATTTCTTGACATTAATTGATATATATATATACAATACAGTTTTAACAAACACCACTAGAAAATAGCTCTTAATTGCCCTGATGGTTGAAAGGGGATTTAGATATTACAATTAATTGTTCTTAGAAACTCCATGGATGCTTGCTATCTATTCATGAAAGAAGAAAATCAGAGCATCATACCCCATTGTGGAGCCTGAATTTATATTATTTGCTTGGTGTGAAATTCTTACATGAAACTGTTTGTATTTTTAAAAGGAGATAATAAAGAGAATGGGTACAATATAATAAATCATAAGACAGTAGCTGAAAAATTTCCAGAATTCAAGGAAAAAAGAAATTAAAAATGAAGGAAGTATGTTGAGTTGAGCTTCATTTGATGTCTCTCACTGTACTGCAGTTCACAGGCCATTTTTCAGTTTCTTAACCAATGTATACCTAGTGTTTCAATGAACACTACACTTATGGCAGTTATTTATATCCTACTGCTAAAGATAATTGCCAAGGTCTAATTTTTCACAAAAAAATTTAAACTTACCACACTCGGTTGCACTCTCAGGTACTCTGCATGTATCTTTCTCTGCCTATCTGCTTAGAATGTTATTATCCTTGCTTTTTTATAGTAGACTTTTTCTGATGCTTTAAGTGATACCTCCTCTAAAATTTCTTATCTGACCACTTTAAGTGGAGGAGGTACCTTTTCCCTGATTCTCCATTAGTCATTTTGTTATTTGCATGGGTCTGGTTACTTTATTGATTTATGCATATACTTGTTCTTGTTGTCTTTTTTTGGTGAGAGCTTATGTCTTATCTTCATGGGCTCCATTGTATCTCCCTTGTCCAGCACAATGCCTAGCACGTAGAAAGCCCTCAATAAATAATTGTTGATTGATAAATAAATTAAAGAATTTAAGCACTTAATTCATTTGAACATAAGTGTAAAATTAAATAAATATGTAATTACAGTTATAAAATTATTACTTATATTTTATATAAAACTCTAAGATGATTGAAAACAAAAATTCCCTTGTAATGGACTGTCACAAAATTTTAAAATAATAATATTTCTACCAAAGCCAATTGGTAGCAGGAAGCCATTAAAAAATGTCACAAGTGGGATAATTTTAATAGAAATAGTTTTATATCTAAGTTGATAATTTAAAAATTATAAATGTAGGCATATTATTGGTAATTAAATGGATAACTCCCAAATAGAACTCAAAACAGATACACGCTTTCTAAATTAAGACAGTTAAATAAACACACATACACACACACACACACACACACATGCACACCCTAAATATTAATGAACATGATTATATAGCAAAATGTAGGAATAAAAGAAAATAGTAAAACAATACTAAAACTACAAAGTAAGATCAGAGAAAAAAAGGAATTAATTTTTTAAAATTGAGTCAAAGAACAAAACTCAACTATGTATTATGTAGAAAACAGTTCTAAAATAAAATAACCCAAA